ACTAAAGATGCAACATGAAATATTAATGATGTGTATCTAACGGTTGATGCATTCCAGTGTTTTCCACATTACAAAGGCTGGAGAAACTTACATGAAAAGCACCAACTGGGAAAGTAGGATTTATAGGAATTTTGTTTCTACATTTTCAGGTGAGGACTACAGTCCAGATCCCTATAACTGGGATTTTATTGGGAAGAACCTGTTCTGCATGGGTGTTGAGGGATTTGTCTATTTCATCATTAATATTCTCTTCCAGTATTGCTTCTTCCTGAATAACTGGCAAGTAAATGTGTTACCAAACTTGTTAGATACACATGAATAAATGCTATTTGAAATTTACACATGTGATGAAAGTCATTGTCCAGATAACACACCAAATCAAACCATGACTGACTAGCAATTTTTTTTCCCGCTGGCAGGATACCCGATTGCCCAAAGCCTCACATTTTGGATGAAGACGTGGATGTTGGAGAGGAAAGACAGCGAATTTATCAGAGTGGAAAATCAAATGACATTTTACGTGTGAGAGACTTGTCCAAGGTCAGTGTTAGTCTTTATTAGGACACACTGTGGACAACAAAAAAAACAAAACTGATTTTGGAGAAAGATTTGAGTTTGAGCTTTATTTTTGTTCTGATGTTCTCTTACCAGACTTACACAGGAACAATTATCCCTGCAGTAGACCGAATCTGTGTCGGAGTATCACCTGGAGAGGTTTGTAGAGGTTTGGTTAAACTGATATATGGTACGGTATGTTACCTCTAAGGCTGTCTTTTTCTGCTTCCAAATATCCACAGTGCTTCGGTCTCCTGGGGGTAAATGGAGCTGGGAAAACCACAACCTTTAAGATGTTGACTGGAGACATTAATGTCACCTCAGGAGAAGCCTCGGTTGCAGGTCACAGGTTTGTACATCGCAGTTGTTCCATGCTGAATTTGAGCATTGATGTCGAATACATTTAGATGCTGATAATCGCCGTTGTTTTAAGTTTCTGTGATGCTGGGTGAAAAAGAAGGTTTGATACACTTCACCTATCTGCATAAATCTCTCACAGCATTTTGACCAATATCCTGGATGTCCATCAGAACATGGGTTACTGCCCTCAGTTTGATGCCATAGATGAGCTGCTGACAGGCAGAGAACACCTACACCTCTACGCTCGCCTTCGTGGAGTGCCAGAGTCTGAGATCAGCAGGGTGAGATGCAGAACTAGGTCTGACAGTTGATGGATGAAGTTTTATTGTGACATTATTTTGAAATGGGGAACTTTATCTTCTTCTAACTTAGGTTGCAGAGTGGGCCATCCAGAAGCTGGGTCTCTCAGAATATGCAGGTCACAGTGCAGGGACCTACAGCGGAGGTAACAGGAGGAAACTCTCCACAGCCATTGCAATGATTGGCTGTCCTGCTCTGGTGCTGCTGGTGAGTCCAACAATAACAGGATTAGTGGGTTATGAGTGGATATTACAGTTATAAGAATATTAAGCAGATAATGGACAAAATTCAAATGTGCCAAAGCTAATTTGTTTATTGTTCCTGCACTTTAGGATGAGCCTACTACAGGTATGGACCCTCTCTCCAGACGTTTTCTGTGGAACTCCATCATGAGTGTTATTCAGGACAAAAGAGCCGTGGTCCTCACGTCACACAGGTAAAGCATATATTTTAACATAAACAAATACATATGGATAACTGACATATAAAGCAAAAAAATCTGAATGCTTGACCCCTACGTTCCACAGCTGTGTTATGCCGTGGGGGTTTTATGCTGACACGTTTCGTTGCTTTAGAGCAGAGATGTCAAACTCTGTAGGCCACACTTTGATCTTAAATGGTCTGGTCCAGAGAAGCTCCACTTTTTGTCAGTGTAAAGAAGTTCTGCCATTTAATTATTTATTTATATTTAATTTCTTTGGTGTATGAAAGGCCAGAGAGCAGGTCTTCATCAGTAGCGAAAGCTGCAAAAAGGCCTAAACATATACGCCCTCCTTCGCATTTTCCAAAGCTGTCCAGCGGGCCAGATTGAAGTCTTTACTGTGCCAATTCTGGTCCCCAAGCCTTATGTTTAACACCCATGCCTTAGAGGCATCTTCTGGTACAGTACCCCCAATAATAGGGCAACATGGGTTTAATACTCTGGGCTGTTTTCCCAGAGAAAATGCAGAAAGGAAGACGGAAAAGTAAATCATATGCCATAAGTCAGAGATAACCTTACTGCATTATTTTCCTTTGGATTTTGAATTCACACCTGGTGAATGAATTTTGTTTTTCACTCCATAAACCAATGCACAAAATCTCACTAGGAAGCAGGAAGTAATACGTTAGTCACTTAAAAATTCCTACAGGAAAACCATCCACCCTACCGCTTTAAAGTCCCCACTCCCAGTGTCCAGATAATACATATGCCCTTTACAACTTACGCTGAGGCAATACTAGCAGTGTATGGTGTCCAAATAACTTACAAAGACACTTTTTCTTGTTCTGATCGTCTGATTTCTCCCCTGTCTCTCTGTATTATGTGTGCACACATGTGAGTGAGCACGGCATCTAATTGTTATGATTTTCTTTCCAGTATGGAGGAATGTGAGGCACTGTGTACGCGCTTGGCCATTATGGTTAATGGATCCTTCAAGTGTTTGGGAACTATTCAGCATCTCAAATACAAGTTGGTCATTTTACTTTATTATTTATTCATATAACAAAATACCTGATCTTCATTTTCCTCCTTTCCTATCCACCAATCTTTCAGTAACTATTTCACTAAAAGTGCCAGACTTTTTACACACTTTAGATTTGGCGATGGCTACGTGGTCACCATGAAGATCAGGGCGTCTAAGCCCGGTTGTGCCCCAGACTTGAACCCTGCTGAAGCATTCATGGAAAGTACCTTCCCTGGCTGCATCCAGAGAGAGAAGCACTACAACACGCTACAGTACAAGATCTCCTCATCCTCCCTGGCTAGGATCTTTCAGATGGTCCTGGCTAATAAGGAGAAACTCAAAATAGAGGACTACTCAGTGTCACAAACCACTCTCGACCAGGTAAATAGGTGCAGAAATGCACAACACAATGAATTATAAAATGGAAAAAAGATCTATTTCATTATGTTGCAAGACTTTGCACGTCGGTCATATTTTAACCTCCTTTTGCGTTTTGTGCCTTGGCTCCTAATTTTATGGCGTATGTCAACCTGCTGCTTTAATCAAATCTTTGTTTTTGTTTCTTTGTCCCTGCAGGTGTTTGTGAATTTTGCCAAGCAACAGTCAAGAGAGGATGAAAGTATTGTATTGCATCCAAAAGCTGCTGGAGCCCAGCGATATATTGATACCACACCCATCAAGTCTTTGGGGAGGTGAACTTAATTTAATGAGCTCAGCTGGAAGAGATCATTTTTATGTCATTGGCAGCCAGTGTTCAAAGTCCTATTGATGTGTGTACTTTGAGGGGACTGAAAGCTAGTCGGCATAATCGGGGCCACCTTTTGATTTGAGACAGTCTGCAGAAAAATCCCTCCCAACCCAACAGACACCAGTGACAGGCGCATCATTTTTTGGATGCCAACAGAGGATGAACTTTTGGTTTCCAACTTTTGCGGAAAAGAAGTCCTTTGTGTTTTAAATCCACGTTTGATGGAGTCTTTTGAATGTTGCAGTCGATCTGTTGCATCTTCTAACCTCACAGCGCAGCCTGTGAAGAAGTCGATCCCTTAAACTGATTTTACTCGTGGCAAAAGTGCATGCTGCTCGATTTTGCTTCTCCGGTAAACAATGTTAGCGGGCTTTGACGTTTTGGAAAATGTGGAGCATTTCTGTGCCTGCCTGCTATTTGTTCCACGTTCTGCTCACCTTTTAGGCCTTTAACTGATGAAATATGAAAAAATCAACCTGTAAAGAAAGGGTGTGTAAAGAAAGCATAGATTGTATATATATATATTTTTGCTTCAGATGCCAAGCAAGATTCACTTTCACTGCCTTCTTTAGATATGTGGAGTAAGGGCTCAGAGAAGCAAAGGCTTAGCACCTTATTGATGCAGTATTACTCGAAGCATCATGAGATTTATTGGTGATCTGTGTAATACAGCTCATAATCATTACAAAATCCTTCTTGCGCTGTTAAATACATTTCATTAATATGATCTCTTCATGCCATTCATTTTTAATTTTTGCGCTTTGTCCTCATGATTTGTTTGCAGCACCTAGTGTCATTAGAAGATGATGACGTGTTTCTGTGAGGCAGAGTATAATAAATAATGAAGTGCGTTTTCTTTAAGATGTGGACCTTTATTCAGACCTTGCATTTACTTTTATAACCAAAAAAAGAACAGTTTTAACCTGAGATTAGGCAATATAGGCTTGAGAACTGCAGCACTTATCACTGACTACCTGATAAAGTCTCTGTACATTAACGTCAGTACAGTTTGCACTTCTCTGGAGAAAACTATCTGAGATAAGCATTAGAAGGGCTTAACTTTAGCGTGATTAAACACCTGCTTTATCAGCGTTCCTCCTGAGAGCTTAAAAGTGATGTCGCACTCTTAAATGGATGCTGTGACATTTCAAATTTCTTCGTTTGCTTCCGCAGGCACTTTATGATGAGGATGAGGATGCTCAATTTCTTTCACTTACATGTAACTAGAAAACTTTCATCTCGTAATAAAAAGCAACAACGTATGCTAACAAACCAATATGCAGTCAGCACTCCTTGCTGGTTTCTCAAACACTCCTTAATATTCTGAAAGAATCAAACATAGAAAATCCAAATGTTAAAGCGTAGCTAATATGACAGGAAGAACTCTGAGTTTTATCACAATGCTAAATCAACCTCTGAGAAAGAAATCCAATCTTCTGTTGATATTAAACACTGCTATTATTGCTGACTTTAAAAGGTTTCCGGCATGTTTTTTAAAGCCTTAAACACGTAAACAGCCACATTATTGCTCTGTTTCCTCCTAGTTTGGCTCATTCATTTGTAGACAAAATTGCATAGTAGCAGCAGCAGACTTCTTTGTTTCTTTGTATGAGGTTCATGCTTTAACCATTATCAAAGAATCAGAGGTATAATAGCCACTCGGAGACTGGGATAGTCCTTGAATTCCCTGATGTAGGCTCTGTGCTTTCCTTTGGCCCAGATGGTCATCTGAATAAACCCCAGTAATGTGTAAAATGCCACTGAAAGACAAAATATACAACATGTGGGGATAACCAAGAGGACTATGCAGGCTTTCTCATCAACCATGCAGTTCCACAGGGGATTATATTTATGGACATGCTCACTTGGTGACAGCAAAAGGTGAAAGGAAGCTCATACCTGGCAGACACTGGGTCATGATAGAAAAGCTCACCCAAGCTCCAACCTACAGTGTATGTCCAGTGTGCAAGCAGAAAGTGAGATTATGCTCAAGCATGAATGAAAATTTAATGCTAGATAAACCGTTCTGAATGCTGCGTGTTACCTCGTATGTGTAATTTGGGCAGGATACAAAGAAGAAAAGCCAGGTGAAGGGGTTCTTATTTGGCATAGGAAATCTTCTACCCTTGGGTCCTGCAAAGATAATTCGTCCAGTGAACGGATTACATATGTACAATTTCATTTTACAGTATTTGAATTGATGGATGACCCTGCTTCATCCATGAATGTTAACAAAGCTCAGCGACTCACCATCTCCCCTGAGCTTATTCAGAGTCAAGTGAATGGAGAAGTTGCCCATTTCACACATCTAGAGCAGAAATAAATAAATCAGGAGTCTGTATATGTGATATGCCATGTGTAATTATTAGTATACGTACCACAAATAGAATTAGTGCATAGTTGACTTGCAGTTCTCCGTATGCTGTGGAGAAAGACAGTTTGGCTTTGATATGATGAAAATACAGGAGAAAAACATGTTGTATGTGGCATACTGACTTACATGGAGGCGTATAGAGAGGGTGGTTGATATAGTAAGCCAACCATGCTGAAAAACCCCAGTAATAGGCACAATTCTGAAAGACGAAATGAGCACATACATAAATACTTAATGTGAAAATGATCAGTGAAGTTCCAGTCCTCACAAAGATACTGTGTAGAGACTGCAAGTTGTATTCTGCATTGCCAAACGAAGCTTTGTTTAGCTTTATTATGACATTCATGAATTATAGTGCATTCAAGGACCTTGTGTGGATGGGCATTGGAAACTGGCAGTGGTACGTGCTACATGCTTGTAGCTATAAATAAACATTAAAACATGAAAAAACAAAAACTGGTGCAGGACAGTAAAAATGAGGCCACACACTGTGAAAGAGAGGAGCTTATTATCAGAAGCTCTCCTCTTTAACTTTAGACGTACCTCACCTTGACTATAGTCCTGAGAGGCATGGTCCCATGTGAGAAGCGATGCACAAAGATTGTCTCTATCAGCCTCTTCGTGTAGTGGAAGGTATGACAGACGCAGGCCAGTCTGAGAGAGAGAGCCGAGGGATAAGACTGGCTTCTGGCAACAGGTCATTCTCTTGCACAGTACATGTATACGTATATATAATAGTTAGAATAGCATGTTTTCATCATAGAACAATTTTAATTTAGCCGTGGTCTGTCGTAATTTGTGCTGTAGTTGATATTTCATTTTCAACGTACGTGACAACAGGGTGGGGGCTGGAACTAAGTGCATATCTGTTTGAGTAAAAGTAGGGTATTCGAAAATAGAAGAGGAGGTAGCTCAGAAGGGGCCCGATATACTCTGCAAGAAACACCTGAAAACAGAAGAAAAGATGACTTTCTTTTTTAATGTTTCACAGATTAAAAAAAACAACTGCCAATATGCCTGTTGAATTAATCGTACCATAGTCCAGCCTAATTGTGGACCAAGATCTTTGAAATACATGGTGGCAGTGGTCCCCACTGGTAGATTCTGTAAGATTTCATCATCTCTGAGTGATTTTCCCTCTGTATAAGAACAAAAACAACCTTTAGGCAAACAAATCCATCTGGAAAAATACCAACAAACATTTTTACTATCCAACAGAGATCATCGCCTCTAGAATGTGGGCTTGAGAAATGGACAAAACAGCAGAAATCTTCACAGTGACACAGGCAGCGCTGTGCAGAGTTTCAGGTTTTCAGCACACGTTCTCTCTACCTGCAAGCTCCAGGGGGCACGGCCACAGATAATTTGCTCTACTAATTGGGCAGCATTTTTAGAATATCCTGAGGGGCAACTGACCCAAATAGATTTGAACCAAAGTTCTCTTGTCTAATTCTTAGCAGCCAGGTAGATCCCAGATATTCAAGACTAAAGCCTTCCAACATCATACATCAGGTTAGGTTGTATTTGCCTTTACAGCTTTAATTTGGGCTGAAATGGATGGAGCAGTGATGCATATTAAATGGTCTTTAAAACAATAAAGGAGAAATGGACAAAAGATTTCATAGTGGAAGCAGCATGCTGAAATGTATTAATGGTTCACTGCTCACTGAAGTACAGGATCAGTGTAAAGATAAATATGCCAGAACTTATTGGATAAACTTTTATCAATAGCGAATGGTCCTATATTCAACCAAGGATATTTTTAGGGTTAGGAGGTGGCATATCATCAGTTGTCCGCATTAGTCTGTTTGATTAATCAAATTTTTTGCTTGACAAACACTAGACAGCGTGCACCTGCAGAGGTTTAGTTTGTCTTTATTTCATTTACATCAGGGTAGATTCAATGATGAATCTGAATTAGCCATGAGTGTGGCTGAAAGAGCACAGCATAGAGCGCAGCATAAAGTGCTGTGTGAAAAAACTGAATGTGGCTTGTAGTGTAAAGCACTTTGAGTGGTCAGCAACACTACAAAAGTGCTTTGGGGACTGAAGATGTGTGATCCTCTTTATGCATTCTGGATGCATCCAACTGTAGGTTATCACAAACCTTTTACCTCTGACCTCTTTCTGATGGACTTTAGCTCTCCATCAAGTCAGGAGCACACCTGAAAATACTGAACTGACAGCACCAAAGATACATTTAGATGTCAGGTGTAGGCTTACTTTCAGAACTGTAACTAGGAACTGTGTTCCTCACACGTACTTTTCTTTCTATACTAACATAAACCTTCTCTGCCATGGAGGTGATGTTTTTGGTAGTGATTATGTGGGTGTGATTCTGTCTGCAAACATGATAGCTCAAAAAGGTTTCAATTAATGTGTGTGTGGTAGCATAACATAAGCAGCATGGAAAGTGATAGGAAGACGGCATCTGCAGACTGTTCAAGCTTCTTTTAAGTGTTCTTAATTTTCCCCCTCCCACATACCTGTTTTACACATAGGACCTGCACAAAGGAACACACAAGTATAACCAAACTACATAAACTAATGAAAGATTCAAATCAACTAATGATGAAGTGACATTTAGCTTTGAGAACTTTTGCACTGCTGTAATGAATATAACCAATGCTACCACAAACAGACCCGGGATAGTATGCAGAGGCGAGGTTACATGCGCTGTGTTTACATTAAAGCATTATGATTAGATAACAGAACACAAAAT